GAGAGAGAGAGAGAGAGAGAGAGAGAGAGAGAGAGAGAGAGAGAGAGAGAGAGGAGCAAGAGGAAACAGTATACAAATGGAAGCAAGATTTCCATGAATTATAGGGCTAAGTCTTTAATAAGATAACATCTACATATATTGTATGCTATCAAGCAAGTCATAGTACTCAATATTTCTCATGCCAATATATAAATTATTAGATGAATAATTAGATGAGGAGAAATATACATATGGTTTGTCTACATTTTTATGTCCTATGCTGTTCTCTAATTTAATAAATATAAAAAACAGTAATCTAACTCAAAAGATACTTTTATATGTTCTCAGGATTCTCTACAAATCCACTGTGTATCTGTATGTATTTCATGAGACTCAAGCAATGCCTCTTAGTAAACTCCTGAATCACTCATGGTACCCAGTCTGGATAACCAAACCAAAATGAAACGTATAAAATATAAATGTGCTTACTTCTCTTCCTCTCTAGGTATCTAGTTTTATCACTGCTTTGACCTTTATAGAACAGGATAGTGGACCTTTATAGAGCAGGATAGAAATCGGAGATTGCTTTGTAATCCTACTATCCACCGACTGAGTTTATCAATAAATGCCCCCAAGCAAATCAAGGAAATGGTCATTGTGTAAGGACCAAGGAGACACAAAGGCAGGGACTATGACCACAAGGTTGTCCCTTCAAGAAAGAATGATGAGACTCCATAAAAATGCCTCAACACACTACTGGACAGAGTTTATGTGAATGATTATGGCAAAAATAAATAAAAGGAGTCCTCAGTTGGGTAGTATGAAATAGGGCTGTCCAATTCAACTTTAATAATAAAATTTAACACTAAAACTGCACTTCTGTTTATAATGGTAAATCACACACATCTGCTGTGATACTAAAATGAGTACGACTGCACTGCACAGCCTCTGCAAGAATAAGATGCCAGCTGTCTGACACTGTCCAGCCACCCTGAGTAGCATTCTGAGAGAGAAGCTGAAAGACAAAGTAATGCTTAGTGTATGTAAAACACTATCCTGCAGTATAATTTAAAACTGGAGGATATCCACTCATGGGCAGGATATGTCAAAACTGTTAATAATGTCAACATGTAAACACCCATAAACCTCTACAAGAATGTCTTGAATCTCAGTCCACCATGTAAAAATGTTATTTATGAATCTGTGAGTGTTGCACTGTTTCTGATGGAGAAGGGATGTACAAGTCACAAACACACACACACACACACACACAATTGCACTTACACAAGTGGTCATCACTATACTGAGTGTGTTTCCTCCTGGAAAACACTCATAATTAACAGCTTAAGAAAGCATAATATACTGTAAAAGAAAAGCAAACGCAAAAAGGCCAGCCAGGATTTGTGTGCATTGCAATGAGAGAGGAGACTCCCAAAGGCCTCTCTGGGTTCCCAGTATACACGAGGTCTTCATTCAATGCCTGTATCTGTTGCATGGATGGATAAGACATCTTTATCAGTAATGTTCTACTAAGCACTATGCCCTCCAGGAAAGGAGCCTTTGAATAAGACGGTGAATACAAAGCACTGAGCAGACTATTGCATGGAATAAAGATGTGGAAAATGATCAAGAGCAAGGACTGATAGGCCAAACTGCCTGTGTGTGTGTGTGTGTGTGTGTGTACGTGTGTGTGTGTGTGTGTGTGTGTGTGTGTGTCTATAACCAAAACACACTGTGACCTTCAGGGCACATGTTAGCAAGATGGTGATCATTCATGACTTTACACAAAGCCTTGTGAAACATTTTAAGCAAATCTCTAGATAACAAAAGTCTAATGTTCACACCAAACTACATAGTATGAAATTCTCAAAGAATAAATCTTTAAAATATATTTTTAAATCTAGTGTTCACTATAATTATATTAAATAGGCAGGAAATCCAGGCACCTTCTCATCAAACACACATGGGCACTGAGAGAAGATGAGGGCCTGCTGTTGTTTATTGATTTTTTTTTTACCATCTTTGTACAAATTCCCCTTTCTGCCTTTTTTTACCTCGTGAAAATCTCTGTGTTTGGAAGTGGACCTCCATCATGAGAGACATACATGTCCTTACTGTGTCCAGTTACCCTCCATCTCAGTGTTTCTCAACTTGTGGATCATGACCCCTTTAAGACTATAAGCAATATTAGATATTTACATTGCATTCATAAGAGTAGCAAAATTACAGTTAGGAAGTAGCAATGAAAATAATTTTGTGGCTGGGGGGGTCAGCACGACATGAGGAACTGTATTAAAGTGTCTCACCATTAGGAAGGTTGACAACCACTGGTCCATTGTGAGAGGCATACATTTCCTCATGTGTTCAAGTACACTCTAGACCTGACTGAGTGAAAACTGACCTCCTCTGAATTTGGATGTGGTGAACAGTTTTAAGACAATTTTCTTATGTTTAATGAAACAGTCATGGCACATTAGAAACAGGCATTACTTTCACTGATGTTACAGTAATGTGGAATGATTTATTGTACTAGATGAAATGGGGCAAACTAACAGACAAGACTGTGTTTTGGAGTACAGCCACACCCCAGTGCCCTCTCACCCCAGCCTTCCCAGAATCATGGCTCCTGCCTTCCGACAAAGTCACCAGCCTGTCAAGTCACAGAACTTTGCTTGTCAATGTCCTGTGTGTGCCCTTGTCACTAAAGCCTTTTTGACATTGGTATTTTCTTTTGAGCTTTTGCAACAGGGATTTGTCCCTACTGTGCTAGACATGGCACTGTGCGATTATTTGTGTTTTCCTGCTTAATCCTCACAGCAGCCCTGCAATGGCCCCATTCTACAGAGAGGAACGGTATAGTTCAGCTGCATAACCGCCCAAAGACCCAAAATTAATAAAAGGCAAAACAAGGATCCCAACCTATTCTGTCAGCCTGAATGCTGACTTTCCTGTCCCCATACGATCCAGCCCTGTCACCATATGACTGATGAACCTTCCCAGAGCCTAGTTTGGAAGAGCAAAAGGCAGTGTTGTATGCATGTGGTTAATTACTTTGCCTTCTTTCTGACATGTGACTGGATTCATTGCAGAAGCAAAGGCTTAGTTTTATTTTTTTATATAAAAATCACAAAGGGGTCTATATGACAGGCACAACAAATTTTCCTCTTTTCTATAAAAATAAGTTTCTCCCGCCAAGGGTGATCAATGATTGTAGCACTTCTGAGATTAAACGATGGTGGGTGAGCACATACTGTCTTGGCATGAGAAAAATGTGATGGTTTTCAATGATGAAATCCTATCTGAAGATCAAGAAAAGGAAAATAGACAACAGCCACAGACTCTGACAAGGAACCACAATGCATTTTATATTTCCAAAAGGCTCAAGAATTGGTGGCATCCAGAACTTGGGATGTGTAAGAATGAATAATGGTATAGCTCAGACAGTAAGATTATTTGAAAGATAAAAATCAATACATTAGTCCTTTGGATAGCTTCTCCCACTTGATGTAACCAAGTTTCTCTTCCACTCAGTGTAAGCAAGTGTCTCTCCCACTTGGTGTAGCTAAGTGTCTCTGCCACTGGGTGTAACCAAGTGTCTCTCCCAGGAATTTTCAGAAGCTGTGGGATTTATATCTTCAAAAGCATGAGCTAGAGAACTCCTTAGAACAAAGGAATGCAATTAAATTTTGTGGAAGAGGAAAGAAATAGGATGCTATGTGACTTGTTTCTGGACACTGTTGACACAGCACACTAAAGTCAGTAGCAAATCCTGATGATACCAAGATTATTTACAAGAAACTCTGTTGGAAGAATGAAGAGGGAAGAAAGATACATGAATGTGGTGATGATCTAGGAAGTAAGGTACCAAACCCATATGGTTCATAATACAGAGAATAACTAAAATTGAAAAATGAAATAGTAACATTGTATGTCATTTCACAAGTGGAATCAACCAAAGAAGTTGAAAGTGTGTGTTCCTCAAACTAATGTGGAGATATGTCCCCAATAAACTGATTATGAACTATTATATACAACACAGCAATACAGTACAGCCAGAACCCAGTGCAGAGATGCCTAGATCATAGTTCTAGAAATATGTGTTAAGTAAGTGCCTGGTTCTGTGGAAAATTCCAATCAAATCCAAAGGTGTGTGTTATTTCTTGAATGATCAGAAGTCTGAGCAAGATCAGTTGGATAAAGGCAATGACAAATGAAAAACTGAAGGATCCATTTATATACTGGAGTGGGGAAATGAGTTCAGTGTGGCTGGATAGTAATAATAATAAACGCTTATTGCAATTAGAGTGTTCTGTGTGCATTGGTATAATCACCCTGCCTTTGATGGCTCATATCATCCTCCCAACAGAGGTAAAGATGGTGAATATCCATCATGTATTGCACATATAAGGGCCTGAGTCATCTAAGGACTTTGTCCTGAAGCAATCAGCCTAGAAGTGCCATAGCTATGACTTTAGCCCCAACCATTATGACCATCAAGTGTCATTTCTAAGCCACTACACTATATTGTTCTTCTGTTTTTCTATTACCAAAGCTACAAATCTATATAAAATCTGTTAACATTTAATAATAGTGACCTGCTTGGTAGGTTTTAGAGCACTATGAGTCTAGCCACATATAGTTGACTTGGTATTTCCTAAGCAGAGAAGAATTTAGCATTGTGGTAGGGTGTTAGCAATAGCTACTATTCGCTCAAGGATTCATTGCCACAGCTGTGTGCCTAGTAGTGACAGAGACAGAGCACATATAGATCTGCATACACTTCCGTGTTCAATATCTTTACTCCAGTTCATATCCACCAAGAACTTTTGATATTTCAGATATGGATGTAGTTAAAGAAGAAAGAGGAGAATCTAGAAAGATGGGAATGGCCACCATGTATGTGCAGGTGTGGAGAGCATATGAAGTTTCTGGCTTCTAGAAAAAAATATGTAGGATTGTCTTCTACATCATGATACCATTTTCCTCTCTTCCAAAAAAGGCTGAGTTTGCTGTATCTTCTTGTTTTTACTGTGACTGGTTTCCCATTTCAGTGGAATGTGGGCCTTTTTAATTCAAAGGGAAACACTTGCATGTTATATGATGGTTACTATAGGTTGGTAAGATTCTGTGAAAATTCATAGCTGGATACTCAAAAAATGAGTGTGTGTAATAAATGTGTGTGTGTGTGTGTGTGTGTGTGTGTGTGTGTGTGTGTGTGCGCTGCGCGTGCATGCACACGCATCCAATACCCAGAACTATTTCTGGTTTAGAGTATGACATGAGTAAATTGGTAGCAGTTTGTGTCTATGGGTAAGTTATATCAAATCATTGAGTGAGGGTTTGAATAATGAGTTAATTGTAGAGAATACACTGCTCTGCAAACTTTGCTGGGAGCTAAGGGTAGTGATTAAGTGAAATCTCATTAACATTTACTCAGGACTAATTGCAATAGTGGGTAAGGTATTGGGGGTGTTGGTTTTTCTTTAAATATGATGTTGAACTGCTAAACCATCTGTGTTCTTATGCATAAACATTTTCTGGGATTCAGGTGGGATTATGGGATATGATACGGTTCTGTGGTTATTATGGGATGATCAGCCTATTTATAATAAAATCTTACTTCAGGGGCCCCTTAATGTTCTCTAAAAGGAAACAATCACAGGTTTCAGGTTCTCTCAAAGGCCACTTGTTTTTTCTCACAAATGTTGATATCCTAAATAAAATCTAAACTTTACAAACAAAGATGGATTCTTTGTGCTTTTCTGGGCTATAAATCATATCTAGAGTTAACTCCAAGTAAGCTTCTTTCCAAATGTTTTATTTTTTAATTCTTATCAAATGGAAGTCCTACCACAAATAAGTCTACAGTCTCCAAATATTTGACCACTGTGACAATAATTTTATATGCAGCATAATAAGGGCTATATTTGTATGCTTAGAATACACACACACACTCTCTCTCTCTCTCTCTCTCACACACACACACACACACACTCACACACACACATATACATATCTTTAGTTAACTAATAAAATATTTACTATCATAACAAAATAAGCAGTCACATCCCAAAACACTGTAGAGCTTTCTAGGTAAGAATTTGTGGGCAGAACATAAAGATTCGTATAGTCCACCCATCAAAAGATTTTCCTCTAAAAACCATGAATATTAAAGCAGTGGTTACTGCCCTGTCTCCCCCTGCCCCCCAGTGCACTTGTAAAGTGGTAAACACCCATCAACAAAGGGGTTCCTCCTTGACAGAAATGCATGGAGGAAGGGGTAGGAGACAGGGTCACACTCAGTGTCACCAAAGCCAGCTATTCTAAATCGGTTTTATTATTCTCCTGTTGAGAAGCCAACCTTTCAGGTTCCTGACCTAAACCCAGTGATCCCCTCTTCTTCTGTTTTCTCCAATTGCAAATTGAAATGACAACCTTGCTTTTCAGCATATAAATACTTTTACATGAATGTTTTTGTAGATTTAATATGCATACTTCTGTTGGTTGCCTTTGATTTACATATCAGCTCTCACTGGTGTTGAAAGTTACAGTCAGGCAGGAGGAAACATACAATCTTGGATGAGTCCTGGCTATAAAGATGTGATATCTCACCCTATCTTCATTATTACAGCACCATCCAGTAGAAAACCTGGGGACCCTCTTGTCATTTCAGATATCAAGAAGGGTAGCGTGGCACACAGGTAAGGAACGTGCCTTTTCTGATTTGCCTGTTTCCTCCTGTCAGTGTATTCTGTACTCTAGATCGGAAATTGATTTTTAGGATCCCTTGTGAGTTAGGCATGCGCATTTTCTTCATGCTCATCTTCCATCTTTCTTTTTCTAGTGAAACCCTTAAAGTAATTTCAGTTCTGAGAAGTACCTCACCTAGACTAATAGCTTATGGGACAGCTGTGCTAGGTGCTATCATGGGCAAGTAAGACTTTTGAACCTCCATTAATGTTTATGTTTCTGTTATAATTCCCTTGCTGTTGATGTCATAAAAACATGTGATCATGAGCAACTCAGGAGAGGAAAGGATTTGATTGGCTTAGACTCTCTTATGGAGATATGTTGGGGCAGGGTCTCAAGTGGGAACTTGAAAGTGTACCTATTAGTTCACATGCAGCATTCCTTCTGACCAAAGAACTCACAGTCAAGGAGGTACATCAGAAACTGGAGGAGTGCTGGTTGCTGGCTCACTCATGGGCTCCTGCTTACTTAGCTCATTTTTTATTCAGCCCCAAACCACCTGCCTAGGGAATGGTGTTACTCATAGTGGACTGGACCCTCCTAAACCACTTAGCAATCAAGAGAATCCATCACAGACATATCCGCAGGCCAGTGTGATCTGGGCTGTCTCTTGAGTGTGTCCCTCCCTTTTCAGATGACTCTAGGCTGTATCAAATTGACAATCAGAGCTAAATTAGGATGGTCTCCTTCTCTGCTCTCTACACATCTAAATAAGACAGTCTCATACTTTCTATTTCACAGATAAAAGCACATTTTAAGTAATCAAGCATGCCAATGTGTCCTGACCTGCAGGTCGTCAACCTGGGGCAAGAGAGTCAGGCATAGGGAATGGGGACAAGAGATGCAGAAAAAAAACAACAACCACAAGACAGGATTCTGATCAAGTGGCAAACTTTACTTTTCTCAGGCTAGCTTATATAGTCAGGATATGGGGAGGGGCAGAATGGGTTGTTTGTGTACCAGGTGTTAGTATAGGCAGGATACTAGGATGCCATAAAGAGGATGTTTGGCAGGGTAATGAGTTCATGAGTAAGAGGTCGAGGAAGGGGTTACCTAGGTGACTCAGCCTGTGGCTGGAAGACTGGGTCAAGTTGTTTCTTTTCTTGAGCTGAGGTTCTAAGGAGCTGCTATGTAAAGGTTAACTCTGTAGCCTGCCAAGCATGGCCTAAGATCTCATGCCAAGCACTGAGATTTGGCTCCCAACACCAATGTTAATATTAACTTTCCTCTTATTATTTTTAAATGAAGACCTTTAAAAACCAACCTGTCATCATAATTGTGCCATTAAAGAAAATGGTGTAACCACCAAAAAGTATGGAGGACATTGTAAGAGTTCAGATAAATAGTATAGGCACAGCTGTGTTGAAAAGTGTCATGCATCAAACAAGGACAAAAAAAGTGTTTCTCATGTAACAGGTAGAAAGTGGTCAGGGGAATCCAGAGCTGGGAAGCCATCACACCTACTTGCTATCCCTGTTTCCTCCTATCCTAAGTGGGAAGGGATTGGGGGTTGCTGAGAGAACCTGTGTATCTATCATAGATGACCCAGCAGAAGAAAAGAGAGAATGATTATTGGGAAAATACTAGTAGAATCTAACACAGACATAAAACATAAAGGAGAGCTTTATAAGGAACACATATATTACCTTCTCATTCCTTTTGTCATGGCTTATGAACTTCTAAGACTTCAGACACACTAGCAAGTGGTCCAGACCAGTATTGGACTCTCTGAAGCCACTATCAGATGCATCTCTACGTTTGTCCCTTTCTCTAGCCACAGTGAGTTTGTAGGTACATGGCAAAACAGTCAAGATCCTAGATCCAGTTCTAACTCTGACCCACCTTGGCCTTCCTCATTCCCTTAGCTTTCTCCTAGGAGCTGATGACAATGTATCAAGAGTGTGCATCAAGGTTGAGAGGAACACAAGGATATATGGGGTCTCTTGTACCTGGTACCCCCTAAGGATTGCTAAACTTCCTGAGTAAATGCCTAGGTTAAGTTGAAGAAAGCATAAGGACAATGTTTTAACAATATGCAATTTGACACCATAACAGCCATCCCAAATAAGACTGTAGAAAATGGATGTTTGTCAATAAAATACACTTTTAAAACAGTTGAAAACTTTGACTGTAAAGGTCACTAGAACACTACATTATGCTCAACACCTCTTGAAATGGCCCATGTAAGTATTCATCCTAACTCATTCAGTAATGTGCACTTATTAACAGAACTGGAACTCTGGAACTTGGGGACAAATTGCTTGCAATAGACAACATCCGGCTGGATAACTGTTCCATGGAGGACGCAGTCCAGATCCTCCAGCAGTGTGAAGACCTGGTGAAGCTCAAAATCCGCAAAGATGAAGATAACTCAGGTATTGACAGCATCTTTACTTAAAACTGGCTTTTCTAAATGCCCATCTGTCAGAAAGATATTAAGTCTTGATGCTTTTCATGTAGCACCTGGCTACTGATATGACAGCAGTATTTGACGTGGTTGTAGGAGTCTTTGAGTTGTGCACTGAGTGCTGAGTGAATTTTAAATTATGCTTTCAATTTGTATAACTAAGATGTTTTTATAAAATATAATTATAGTAAGATAATTTTAAGTATGAAAATATATTAGCGTCAAATACTACTCTGAGGTAGTAGAACTGGTCCTTTACAAGAGTTTGTGGATGTCTATAACATATAACCATGGTGAATGTTGCATTTTTAACTTTGTAAATATTTAACTAGTTTACAAACCCTTAACGTTCTGCTTTGCTATTTCAGCGATTTTAGTATCATAGATAGTAATGCCATGCTTCATGCAGAGAAAGTTTTAATACAGATTTCTATCTTCATTTGAAATATTTCCTTAGAAAGCCTCTCTAAAACTGGAAATGCTAAATGAAAATAAAAAGGAGACACTGGAATTCCTTGCACGTTATATCCCAGGGTTTGTTTTTAAGGGTCACATCCATTTTCGGGTTGTCAGTAATGTGTGAACAATGCTCCTCAGACCCCATTATGCCGCATGGTCTCCTGGAGAGCTTTGGAAACATGCATCCTGGACATTATCTCGAGGTAGAGTCTGGAATTCTTCTTACTTAACAAACTTCAAGGCAATGCTGGCAGTCATGCAAGGAGCGCGCCTTTAGCTCTACAGTAAAAGCCCTTTTACCCACTTACAATAATAACCTGGAACTAATTGAAAAGTGCACTTATTAAAATAACTCACTAATATGGAAATTCTAGAAATTGTTTGAAATCTGCATCATAAAGATTTAATTTAAAAGGTTGTCAATCTTGCCATTAAACTTAATGCCCGTCCTATGAATGTGGTTCTACGGATCGTAGTTTCAAGTCTTTGTTTCTCTAAACTATAGCTATGATATATAGTTAGCACTTCTGTGTTAGCTTTTCATTTCTAAGACAAAATGCCTAATGAAAAACAATATAAGGGAGGATACATTTGAAATCATGGTTTCACAGGTCTTGATCCATGGCCTGCTGCTCAAGCTTTTATGGCGGAGCCTCATGATGGCAAAGGGTTGCCAGGAAAGTAAGTTGCCCCACTTCAGGAGGGCCCACCAAGAAACAGGAGTGCAAGCAAGAAGGGGCCAGTAACAAGTTATACCCTTAAAAGTGATGTCCAGTGTTCTGCTTTCTACACTCAACATTATAAACTATCAAAGGGTTAGCCCGTTTCCATGATCAGTGCTATGATAACTCAATTGCCTCCCAATAATCCCACTAGCTGAGGTCCAAGCCTTCAACATACAGACCTGGAAATAGCAGGGCAGGGGTGCATTTCCTATTTCAACCAAACATTCCACTTCTGATTTCCGGAGGACTCATGTCCAACTCAAGATGCAAAATGTATTCCTTCTATCTCCAAGAAGTCCCAACGCCTCTAGCTAGTGTTGCATAAACATCCAAGTTTATTTTCTTCTGAGACTCAAGGCTGCAAAATCAGTATCACAGGACGACATCAAGGTCTGTGGCCAATTTTCGCAGTAACTAGGCCCATGTGACCCACATGGCGCACAGCTGCCGCAGTTTCTGTGTTTTTGTTAGCTGAGCTCGGAGAAACACCTTCCTTGGCAGCCTATGCCTGAAAGGGTCCCTGAAGTGATCTTGTCCAATCACAGGCTTTCAAAGGCTTTCTATCTTTATACCCTAGAGCCACTGATGGATGGGAACAGGCTAATTTCTGAGATGCTACCAAAGCATCTTTCTTGTCCCAATGCAAAGTACTTGGCTAGTTTTTATGGTGCTATTCTACTTGGCAAGTTCACTTTATTTGCAGCCTTAAAGAGCCTCCTCCTTTTTATAAACCTAGACTACACGTTGGTCAAACCCTTCTGTTCTCTACCTTTTCCTCCTGATTCTTGCTATGAATCCAGATGAAAACAACGAGTAATATCCATGACAGTCTATACACTGCTATCTCACATTTTCTTCCAGTAGATTAGTCTATGAGCTTTAAAACTGGCATCTCACAAAGTATCAGGACATGGGGGAAAGTATAGACAGACGTGTTCCTTCCAGAATGTGATATATGGTCTCTCAACCAAGAGTGTCCTGGCATCCATCTGAACCTCATGAGCAATCGTTAATGATGCTATCAGTGCCCTGGTCCTTAGTGTTCTTGGTAGACCCACCTAGCACGCTCTTCTTGCAGAATTTTAAGCATTTTCTCTAATTTTTTCTAAGCTCCTCCTGCAGATCATTTCCAAAGACTTAGACACTGCAAAGTGAGAGCCACAGCAACTACTTCACTTCTAAGCATTAATTTCTTGTGTTAGTTCATCCTTCTGCCACTGTGACAAAATGTCTGATAAGACCAACATGAAGGATGAAGGATTGATTTTTTTTCACTCCTGGTGTCAGCTCATGGTCAGTTGGCTGTGTTGTTTCTGGGCTATGGTGAGGTGATCACAGCCAAAGGCATGATGGAGCCACACTGCTCACCTGACTGCAGTGAGGAGACAGAAGAAAGATAAAAATAGAAAGACAAAGCTATTCCTTTCAAAGGCATTCTCCTAGTGACACAGTTTTCCCAACCAGACTCTACCTCCTAAAAACTGATTCAGTAACATCATTAACATGGACAATCCATGTTCGTGTTAAAAATATTTTTAAAGAGGAAACAAAACTAGAAGGTATTATAGTTTGGATATTAAACATCTCCCCTGGAAGTCTTAGACATTGAAGGCTCTGCACACCAAGCTTGTGTACTATTGGGAGATGATTGGATCATGAGGACATCATCATCATCAATGGATTAAGGTGCTGATGAATTCTGATAAACAATAAAATTGTTTTAAATTCTTTTGTTTTTTACATTACCAAAAATAAATCCATATTGCAATTTAATGCCACTCTTTAAATGACAATAGCATTCTTAAATGTAGAAGAAGAGATTTTGAAAGTTTTTACTTAAGAAAATGATTATACCTTATTTAAGTCAAGTCACAGCACATCCTGGTGGTGGCACAGACTAGTATCCAGATATGACTAGTAGCCTTTAACATGGATGCCTTCAGAGACACTCAAGATTGGGATCATAACAGTAACAAATAAAAAGATGCCAATATTCTAGAATCTTCTCATACCTAAATCATAATAGGTCTAGAGGTCACAGGCATGTCAAGCCATATGTTTAATGTTTCCAATTAACAGTAAAAGAAAAGAAACAGTAATTACATCCATTAGTAGAGTTGGGAATGATGATAATAGCCAAATATATATTGTAGTCAGCATTTTAAAATGTGCACAAGCTGGTGCTCGTTTCTTTATCAAGCCCTGATTTTTCTATGCCTGGTTTGCATTCCTTTTTTGAATTTGATTCCACTGCACTCGATTTGGGGGAATTTGTTTCCTGAAACAACTACAGCCTCCAGCTTCACCTGGGTTCTGTCCTGAGGAAAAGGCAAAGCCCTGTGGAAAAACCTACATGGCCCAATTTGCCCAACTAAGCAGATCACAGCTACCTTCCTTGCAGAGTGAGAAAGCCAAGCCAGGGATGAGTGTGTGTGGTAGACACAGCTGGCAATATATCCAGTCTCATAGCCAGCTATGCAGACATGTTGGCAGGGCTTACTGAAACAGCAGCTCAGAACGTGGAGAGCTCCATTGTGTTCTCACCTGATTTCCTTTGACTTACCCCCCTTTACATCTTTCACCTATAATCCTTATGCCTAATGTTATAGTAATCATCCTGCTTATTAAATATATTTTAATTCTTCTAAATCCTAAATCTTTTCACTGGATAACATCAGGAGAAGGTTCTTGGCTGAGGCTCCAGGGAAGTGACTATTGCTCAATGCCCAGGTCCACAAAGATGCACAGGACACTCTTGAAATAACATCTGTCATTTGGCCTTGATTGTGTCTGGTACAAAGCCATGAAATGAAGAGTTTTTGTAGATGTGGCTAAGTCCTAAGGAGTAGAGAGTTTGTGGGGAGTTGTGCCAGATAATACAAGTGTATCCATGAACCCGTGTTTTTCAAGGCTTCGCATCGTATTACTGCATTTTTGTCCATTAAATGGGCAGTGCGTGTGTTTTCTTTTGGTTTAAATCATCTTCCTCCTGCTATAGAACTTGTTTGTAGAATCTGTAAATTCAGCACTTTGTCTTCTTCACATGTTCTCATTTTGTGGGAAAAAAATATGGGCAGGCCTTTGCTTGTTCTACCTGAAACAAATTGTCTTTGTTTATTGTTTAATACAATCTTATGCAAATTTAGCCTTTACTTCTAGTTGAATCTATTCTATCCAGGCTTTCTTTGGGGTTTTGTTTTCCGTTTCTCAGTGTTAAGCCAAACAATTTGAAGTAGATTTCTCCCTAAACCTAGACTGGAGAGGAGATAACGCCTTGTGAACCTTGGCTGTGCCTTGGGCACTGGAAGGATCTAGATGTCTCATATTTGTTCTCTCAAAGTAATGGCACCCAAATTTGAGGACACCTGAAAAATCACCAGGGCTGTTCCCACAGCCACCTGGGCCCCTCCTCTGGAGTCTGTGGTTGCTCCGTGACTGGGAAGGCACAGAGAATCTACATTTCTAACCAGTTCCCAGGTGATGCCAAAATTTCTGGCCCTCGAATGGCATCTTGAAACTCAGAAATGTTCACTTTCATAAAGATGTTTAATTCCATGAGTAAACCTTCCATATCTACTGTGAACCCCCTTGGTCCACTGCGTTGATGCAACCAGGTAAAATGGCCTTAGTGCAGTGAAACAGCTGTAAGGAGGGGAGCTCCAAATAGTTTGTTTTCTCAGGATAGTGCAACTGCAAGAAATTCAGCCATACTCCAAAACTAATCCCATCATTTCTTCAGGTGAAGTGAACTTTGATTGACCTGCATGTGTTTCCCTTCCAAAGC